TCTACAGCATCAAGGGCAAGGCTTGGATCGACATGAGCGGCCTTTGAGTCAGGAAACAGAACATCCATCAGAGCCGTTGGAGCATGTTCGACAGGACTTAGACTTGGTGCTACGTGACCTTGAAGATCGGGTGTCCAGGCTGCGTACTCTGCTTGAAGAAGAGGAAATCCTTCAGGAGGAGTATCGTCGAGTTGGGGGCGAGACTCGGGAGCATTTGCAGGATGCACGTGGCCAGGTAAGTCAGTACTTGGAGGAGGTGCATTCGCATTTGGCACATGTGGAATCCTTGAGGACTATGTTGTGCCTGCGGTCTTTGGAGGTGTCCTCATCTCCGTTGTCTTCGAGTGGTGGCAGTGACTTGGACGTGGCGAGGTTGATTATGAGGAGTTGTTGAGCTTGTTGGAGGAAGATCTTCAAGTTGTTCATACCGTTCCACTTCAGCAAGTACGAGCGGTCCTGGACAAGTGGACAGATGCCATCCGGAAGGAGGTGGAGAATCTTCTGGCCACCGGCGCCGCGCGGGCTGTCACAGCATCGGAGATTCGCCAGATGGAGCGTGCTGGACTGGTGGTGATGGCTCCTTCCAAGTGCGTGTTCACCTTGAAGCCTCCATCGCAGCGCGAGCAGCGCTACAAAAGAAAGTGTCGTTTGGTGATTTGTGGGAACTTTGTGGAGAGCCAAGGGGTCGACTTGTACGCAGCAGGTATCGGCACGGATGGCTTGAGAACGGCCTTGGTGTTGGCCGCGGTCCACAAATGGGCAGCAGCAACCTCCGACATTACCGGAGCCTTCCTTCTTGCCCCTTGGCCATCCCATCTTCCGAGATACGGAGTTTTTCCTCCTCGTGTAGTTCGGGAAGCTGGCATTGTTGGAGCTGAGGCGTGGCTTATTGAGCGGCCATTGTACGGACTTAGGGAGAGTCCTGCCATCTGGTCCTCTTACAGGGACTCTCGTCTCAAGAAGGCCAGAATCCACGTAGGCGCCTTGGTCTTGGTTCTGGTCCAGACAGTAGCTGAGACTGAGCTTTGGCTGGTCAAGGACGAGGTCACTGATGTGCTTGTCGGCCTCCTGGTGACGTATGTGGATGATATCCTGTACTTCGGAGAGCAGGCTGTGGTCTTGGCGTTGCATGCGTTTGTGGAGGAGGAGTGGCCAGCGAGTTCCTTGGAGTGGATCAATCCTACGGTTCCAGTTAGGTACCTCGGTGTGGAGGTCTTGTGGGACATGAGCAGCAGCAGCTTTAGCATCAGCCAAACAGCATACATCCTAGATTTACTGCGCGCACATACCATGCAAGATGCACACAGCACACTCTTGCCTGTGCCGCGTGAATGGGTTGAAGCTGTGGAAAATGATCCAGATGCCTTGGAGGGTGACTTTGATGAGTCGACTCTTCGGACAGCTCAGAAGGCAGTTGGGGAGGCTCTTTGGCTGGCAACAAAGTCGCGTCCTGACATTCTTTTCGTGGTGAACCACATGGCCACGTATGTTTCGAGGCAGCCATCACATGTGATAAGGGTGGGCCAGAGACTTCTGGCTTACCTGTCAGGAACGTCGGATATGCGATTGCTGTTAGGTCCAAGAGGCGAGGTCCAAGATGAGATCGTTTGCTTTACGGACGCGTCTTACGCGCCGTTTGGACGCATTTCGTTTGGTGCCGCGGTTGTGACCCTTGCTGGAGCACCCATAGCCTGGAGAGCATCTAGACAAAGCTTCATTACGTTGTCCGTGATGGAGGCGGAGCTGTATGCTGCAACTCAAGGATGCTTGCTGATGGAGGCTGTGAGTGCGGTTTTGGAAGAAATCATTCCTGGCTTCTATCGTAAGGTGCTGGCTATAGACAACTCAAGTGCTGCTTCCATGTGTGCTGGCGGGGCAGGCAGTCAACGAACAAGGCATCTGAAGATCAGAGCCAATTACATCCGCGAGGCCACACAAGCAGGCACCCTTAGTGTAAGGCACACTCCCGGTGAGTACCAGCTTGCTGATCTAGCAACAAAGTTGCAGCCGAAGTTGCGACTGTGGCGATTGCTGACACTGTGGGGCTTTGTTGGAGAGAAGCTGTCTGCCATGGTGAAGACCCTGAAGATCCAGTTGATGTCCGTTGTGCTTTTGCTGAGCTCATTGGTTGTTCCTGTGGAAGGTGCCAACACGAGCCTTGTCAAGGAGCCTTTGGCGAAGACTGGCTGGGAAGAGCTGTGTTTTTTGTTGGTCGTGACGTGCGTGGCTGTGATTGGTGTTTGGGAAGCAAGCAAGGCCATGTTTCGATCTTACAAGAGATGGGTAAGGGGGAATCGTAAGAGTAAGAAGCTGCGTAGGGTCTCTGACTTGGCCGCTGATGCTGCCCGTAGGGAGGTTGCTTCGCAAGCTGGGATGAGTCTTGTTTCCGAAAGAGCATCAGACCTCCGATTCCCATCCTCTGCGGCGTCTTCGAGCAGAAGTAGGACTGCAGAGGAGCCTTTTCTTCGTAGAAGGCCGACTGGATCAACAGCAGAAGCATCGCCTTTGCGTTCAGTAGGCTCAGTAGCACCGTCAACTCCGCCAAGAAGGAGGGATCAAGAAGAAACCGAGCCCATACCTTCGCCTGGAGCGCAAAGCTCAGTGTCCGCTGGCTTGGAAAATTTACAGGAAAGATCCCGTGTGGTCAAGGATGTCCTCAAGCTTCTCACTTGTGAAGAACTTCGTGCCGCTTTGAGAGGCCAGGGCTTTGTGACTTCCGGGCTAAAGGAAGATCTGATAGAAAGGCTGGCAGTTGTGTTTTCTCCTTCATATGAGAGGGCTGATTTGCCAACTCTTCGTCAGTTGAAGTATGTGCTGTGGCTATGGCGTGAGAAGAATCTCCGTCATAGGTGTCTGCTAAGATGGACAGACATCTTCACGAAGACAGCTGTGTCACAGTGGTTGTTTAAGTGGAAGGACGTTCCCAGTGTTTAAGTGGAGCCTCTTTGTTCCGGCGAAGGTTTGATCGACCCGCCGAAGGTTGCTCAAGAATGAACCTGGTGCTTTTGGGCAACATGCATGCTAGTCAGCAGTGCCTTCTCACCGAAGGTGAGAGGCAAGGAGGAGTGCAGATGAGTCTATGTGGCATTGCTTCATGTTGCGTGTTGTGGCTTAAGCAAAGGATGCTTGGGCTAAACATGTGCAGTCGTAGCATGCTATAGCTAGCAGTGCAGAGCACGCTTACAAGGTATCGTCATTCCCTTGCGTAAAAAGGAGTTAGGCCTCGCTGAGGGTTCATGGACTTGGAGCGCCTTGCTGGCCTGTACCATGAATATCCCTGATTGATGGGGTCGAAAGCCAGATCCCTATTGTAATCCCTATTAATGGGAGGGGTTTATTAATCATGGGTCTACATTACCGTATACCTGCGGACCCAGACCGGAAGTTTCTATACTGTGGGGGCCTAGGAAGGTACTAGCATGAACCGCATGTAGTACTGTTGACCGCTTTGAAAATGGATTTAGTCTTGGCGAGGCCCGTCTTGTTGTGCCATGTCAGTCCAGGGGAGGATAAATCCTTAACCGGGAGTTCCTTTGGGAAACTTTCTAGGCCGTAGGGTTTATGGGTTAAGGGTTTAGGGCTATAGATCCTAAACTCTATAATCCCTAGACCCTATATGCATCCGTGCATATCTCCTGGTTGAAGAATACAATTGCTGATAGATTCTAGGCTTGAGCCCCAAAACGTCAAATACTAAAACATCACCCCCTGCGGCCCGCGACCCGGCACTCTATGCCTTGGGGTTCCTGAACCACCCAAAGTAGGATTCATATGATATGGATATGGTGGCTCAGTGTAAGGTAATACCTCAGTTATGTGGTATACCTGTGACTTTTTACCTGCAGTGTAGTAGTACTTGGCCTTGCATTTCATAGGCACAACCCATAAAATTGTAAGAAATAGGGGTTGCAGGTATAGGGTGCGCACGACTTCGTCCATCCACGGCAGGGTTTCGGGCTATGAGTCGCCGGCGCAGGTTTAGGTTCAGAGTTTAATGGTTATAGGCTTTAGGCTTCAGGGTTTCGGGCTTCCCCTTCCCTAGCCACTCCACGTAGTAGTCTCCACAATCATTTACCAGAACTTGGCCGGGATCCGCAGGACGGGTCTGTGGGCCATCGGCATTTAAAATTTAATGACCCTAAACCCTAAAATCCTAAACCCCAGGTTCGCCCCTGAAAGTCTTATAGCTCCCGAAAGGTAAAGGACCAACACTGTTTGGCAGGAAGCCCTATTTACTGGGGGGTTAGGAACGAGGGGATAAATTATCCAGGGGTTGTCTCGGGATCGCCTGCTAACCCCTGTCAGCCCAGGGTATACCTTTTTAAACTCTAAACCCCAAACCCTATAAACCCTAAAGCCTATAAAACCCGTAAGCACCTTGGTTCCTCTGGGCAAGTGCTAGCGCCAAGGCTGCATCACGGCGACGTTGAAGGACTGCCACCAGTACTATTATCTGTTGCTTGGAATGTTGGTTGGGAAATTTACTCTGGGGGTGGAGGGGGTGTTCTTCGCCCCCCAAAATGGAAATCCTATCCTAAACCCTAAACCCTAAGGCCTAAACCCTAGGGACCCAGCCTCTGCTTGGTCCAGGAAGATCTCTCAGCTGCCTCAGTGGACCAGCTTGCGGACAAGTGCACGGCAACGCTTCAGGGCCTACAAAGGCCCAACTTCGGTGTTTGCTGGTCTCTGGTTAAAGGGTGTAGGGTTTTTAGGGATTAGGGTCCAGGGTTTAGGGATTAGGGTATAAAAATTAGGGTTTAGGGAATAGGTAGGGCCTAGGTTTAGGGATTAGCGCTTGGGTTTAGGGATTCAGGCTCAATTCTTTGATACCTGGACCAGTAGGATGTAGGACTTGGGATTGAGGCCGTAGACCCCAAACACAGGCTCGGAGCGTCCGGTGGAAGCCCTCATATGAAAATCGAAAGTTAGAGCTCAACTCCCTTCCTCTGAGGATCCAAGTATACAAATAATACCTACATTGGGCCCTAAAGTCTGTAAACATCACCTACATTGGGCTATTTGGATCCTTGGGTTCTATGAAGTATACTGATAGGCCCCTAAACCCTAAACCCTAACCCCTAAACCCGTTTAGGATTTAGGGTCATTGCACCTGAATGTATTTGGATCCTTGGGTTCTATGAAGCCACAGAACTGAAGGATAGGGGTCTAAGGTTGGATTTGCGTAGTCTCATTGTATTGGATCATGTGAGCTATAGTCTAAACTCCTTAAAGGGGGTTATATAGGGGATTATATAGGGGACTACTAGAGGCGTTATTAAGGGGGATACTAGGAGTTTAGACAGCTCATGTGATAGTTCAGAAGTTCAGGTCTCGGTAGCGGATCTTGCGGAGTACGGCTTAGACCTACGGTTTAGGGTTTGAGGTCTTGTGGGTGGAAGAAATCTTGCACTACCTTGGATTCCGGATACCGTGGCAATTTTTGCAGATCGGATTTCAAGTGGTGCAAGATGACCTGCATCCACCGCGGAGATGTGGCCGTAGAAATGCTTTTTCATAGCAGTAGTAGCAACAGCTGTGATAAGGATCAAAGTAGTCAAGGCTTTGACCACTGTGTTCAGTGCGCAGGGTTGAGCATGGCATCCAAAGAAGGGCCTGAGCATTAAGACTCTTCCTCGCGCCTCGACTATTTCAACCACATGGCAACACCCACAGCATAGATTTTCCCTAGAACCCCTAAGCCAAGCGTTTGGGCACCTACATCAAAGTAGGACCTGCGGCGTGACTGGCCTCGTGCGTCTGGCCCTGTGTGCTTCGCAGCAGCAGTCAGTGTTTTGTGCCAGGTGTTCACGTGGAGCGAGAATGTATACTAGGTTACCAGTAACCCAAAACCCTAAACCCTAAACCCTACCCAGTATTGCCTGTGACTGCTGCCTTCCTGTAACCTCAGTAGGTACCTACAGCTTAATAGTAACTACCCCCTAATTCGTAGTAAAGCTCTAGGTACTTGAGGTTAGAGGTTAGGCTTCTTCTCCCAGTAGTTTCTAGACGGGAACCAGCAGCCTTTGTGTTCTTTGGCTGCTTGAGATCCTAGTATGTATGTGAGCTATAGTCTAAACTCCTCAAAGGGGGATTTATATGGGGGGTAATATAGGGGACTACTATAGGGGTTATTAAGGGGGATACTAGGAGTTTACACAGAAGCTCATGTAGAATCAAGTAGAAGGGTTCAGGTTTTGGGGGGAGCTGATTGAGTTTAGAATTTTAGGGGCATGGGATGAAGGCAACAGAATGCAGGGATCGTTTCAGGGGGTAGAAGCTCAAAGTTCTTTCAAATAGGGCTCAGCAACCCAGCAACCATCCAACTTCAAGAATTGAAGCCTGCAGAAGCTAATTATTCTCTGGGCGATCCTGAAGCCCAAACTCTAACACTGAACCTGAAACCTCAATCCCCTAAACCTGAACCCCTTCCCCCTCAACCCGAAATATCAAGAACTAGGCCTAAGGCCTACTCCCCTAGCTCAACGCATTGAGCCCCAGACTCCAAGGCCCGAGCCCTAAATCTCAACCCCCATGCGGTTAAAGGTTTAGGGATTAGGGTTTATGCAGTTCCTTCTTGGAATTTTATTGTAATCCCCTACCCAAAACCAGCACAAACCCTGTACACACGATGGATACCGCAAATCCTGCATGACCTAAAGTACCTTATCCTTTGGGATTTGCGGTGGTATGGTATGCCAAGGTCATGCAGATGTTTGCATCAGCAGTTTTCGCCCCTATATCACCCTTCTCCATTATCCCTGACACCTAGACCTAAACCCTAAAGTCCGAACCCAACCCCAATCCTTAAACCCTAACCCTTGTCCCTAAACCCCAAACCCTATCCCTACGCTTAAACCCTGATCCGTAATCCCTAAATCTTAATCCCCAAATCTGAACACTTATAGTCCCCTCAAGTAGACAGAATATGGCCTTGGCTCTATTATAACAAGATCCCCATATACCCCATATTCTATCTACTTAAGGGAGACTATAAATCCTAGACACTTGGAGCCCTTCAATGAGTCCTAGGCCTGGGCCACGAAGCAGATGACCTCGCAGCCCAGCACACAATCCGAGGAAATAGGGTTAAGCTCCCCAAACTAACATGGAAACTCATATGGGTGGTTGTCAAAATTATGGTCCCTTTTTGGGTACCCTAAATATGAGGGGCCGTACTATAATGGGGACCCAAAAAGGGACCATAATTTTGACAACCACCCATATGAGCTCCGGACTCGATTTAGGTTGGGGGGGACCTATAGGGGACTACATTTATGGGGTTTTCGGTGGGACCTATTAAGGGATATACTACAAATTTAGTCCAGGGCTCATATAGTTCCCTTTTAAGGGGCCTGTAGTCTTTGGGGCTATTTTGGGTTTTCCATGTTAGTTCCCGGCAGGGTATTGAGTTTAGGGATTTGTGATTAGGGGTTAGGGTTTCAATTACTTACAGTTTAGCAGTAATTTGGCCCTGATTATGTAGTAGCAGGCATAACCCATAAACCGGAATGAAGTTGGGGTTACCGGTAGGTTTAGGGATTTGTGATTCAAGAGTTTAGGTTGTTTCGAGTAAGGGGTTAGAATTTTGGGTTTCGGGTAGGGTATAGAATGAAGGGTTCGTGGTTTGGGTGTATGCTTCTTTCATTTAAGGGATTAGGACTCGGGTTCAGCTCCCTGAATCAGACAAAGGGGGGTTTACGGCCCAACAATGCGGATACTAAAGTTGCGTTTAGGGGCCTGTGGGATTTAATCGGTTTAGGATGTTAAGGGCTCAAGGGTTTAGGAGTGCTTACCTACGGATGTAGGGCTCACATTTTTTATGGTGATCAATTAAGGCTTCAGTCAAGGATTGTGTTGGGATAATCAAACTTTCTGGGGACTACCGCGCGAGTCGCTTGCAAGGGAACGAGGAGAATATGCCTTCTCGAGTGTAG